TGAGAATTCCATATCTTGGGACCGGATATGGAATTCTCAGTGATCGCATAATTGTGATGTATTTGGCATGACTACGAATCACTGAAAACGAGCGTGTTCGTTATTCCTTGTTCTATTTGAAATGTGCTCTGTGGGACTGTTTAGACAATTAAAGCAAACCAAAGATCCCATGGTATTTCGCGGACTTAATAAGTATGATTAAGTCCGTACGAAACTGGCTCTGGCAGAGGCTCGACGAGTGTGTTAATAAATCGGAATTTCCGAAACAGTATTCGACAATGTTGAGGAGAAATCGAGTGAACATAACCAGTGCGACCCTTCGCCGTCTCGCTCTCAATGAGCGTGACACGTTGTGTAACCATCTTGTGGATTTAGAACGGAATTATGTGACTTCGCGTGTGCGTTGGATAATCTCCCACCGATTGAGAGAAAATCGTTCGAGGATTATGTTCAGCCGATCGTGGCTAAGCAAGTTGAACGAATCCAAACAACGCCACGTTAGCGACCAGGCCAAGTCAAACCCGTGGTTGAGTTTCCTGTCAAACTTGAACAGTACGTTCACAATCTATCATGTGTAAATCTGGACAAAATGTTGCTAGAAGTATTGTCTCTAGGACCAAAGTTTGGTTGTCCTAATGGCAGATCTAAGCAACTTGATGTTGAGTTGGAGTTTGAAAATCTCTATGCACAACTTTCGGATCTCGTTCCCTCGTCAGCCTTGGAGTTGGAAAAGCTGAAATCAACCTTATTCAATGCATGCTACCAACATCAGAGTGTGAAAGTAAAAACAAGTGAACTAGTGACACCGGAGCATCTCAAACGACTCAGAGACCTGCAGAAAAACAGAGAAATCATGGTATCCAAACCCGACAAAGGGGCTGGGATCGTACTTTTGAACCGCACAGATTATGCACAAAAGATGGAAGCCATATTGAGTGACAAGTGGAAATTCACCAAACAACAGAAAAGGATAAGACCGCTCAAATAGAGGTTGCTTCATCAAAAATATTGAGATGTTTAAAGCAAAATGATCGAACGAATCCGGTCAACTGGGATAACGATTGCCAGACTGTACGGGTTGCCGAAGGTGCACAAGGAAGGGGTATCCTTGCGACCGATTCTGGATAATTCACCGTACCAAGCACTTGCAAAGTGGTTGGCTAAATTACTAGAACCCGTAAGAATTGGATTAGCGAAACACAGTGTACGAGACACATTGACTTTTGTGAAAAGCATTCATGACTTAAACTTGATGGATCAGACAATGCTTTCATTGGTCGTTAGCTCGCTCTTCACCAATGTTCCAATCAGCGAAACCATCCAATACCTGTGTAGTTACGTACAAAGTAACAATGTTGAGATAGACCTTCCTTTGGAAGACCTGAAACGACTGCTTTATTTTTGCACATACAACATCCAATTCAAGTTCAACGAGCAGATCTATCGACAAAAGGATGGTGTGGCTATGGTATTACCTCTAGGACCGTTGTTTGCCGATGTGTTCATGGCGAAACTCGAAAATAACCAACTCATATCTTCCATTAAGGAGTGTGTGTTATATACACGATATGTGGATGATATTTGTGCGTGATCAACACAGCATCAGGAACAAATGAGCTCTTGAGCAAATTCAATGCTGCTCACCAGAACATAATATTTATTTTAGAAATGGAAAACGACAACAAATTGGCATTTCTAGACATCTGTTTGAGTCATTGATCGGACGGTCGGTGCAACGATCAGTGCATAGGAAGACGACTTGGAAGGGCCAATATATTCATTTTCGTAGCTTTGTACCGCTCATAGTGGAAAGGAATTTGGTACGCTGTCTAGCAGATAGAGCAAGGAAAATTTGTAGTGAAGACACAATAGAAGAAGAGCTCCGGGTATAACGTACTGTCTTCACACACAATGGCTATCCAGAACGATTGGTTAGCAAGAGGTTTCAGTGCGGTGGAGATATTGTGAAGAAGACTGAGGTCAGAAAGAAGTCGATATACATTGCCTTGCCGTTCAGAGGGGGATGCATCAGCAGAAGTAATACAAAGGAGACTATCAGATGATGTTAGTAATACCTTCTATGCAGCAAAGGTCAATGTTTTGTTCACCTCCCAGCCAATTGTGTGTTTACGACTAAAGGACAAAATGCCGGATTCTGCCGTCTCATTTACGTGTTCCTGTGGAACCACGTACATAAGCCGCACGGTCAGGCGTTTGTCCCAACGAATTCGTGATCACCACCCCGTATGGCTAAACACCGGAACGATTAAGTCACTCACTAGTGCAGTGGTTTCACACCTAGTTGAAACAAATCACACTGTGAATGTGACCGAGGCATTCCGTCCCCTGTATCGGTTTCGTGGTCGATTATCAAGGCAGGTTCGCTGACGTATGCTAGCCACAGCAGAAGCTGTAGGAATTCGTCTGCACAACCCCCCTTTGTGTGCCGAAAAACAATTTGTGTAGGTGCTTAGGCTCCCCTGGCCCACCCCCAATATTCCGAGTGGTCCCAACGATCGGATGACCTAACATTTATGCGATCATGGAAAATTCCCATCTCGGCATGGAGAGAAAAAACACGGTGGTTTTAGCGAACAAGCTCGTTTTCGACAATTTCTTCCTCAGGCTAATACAGTTATATAGTCAAAATTAAAATTAAAATGTTCGTCAATGGCCGTGTGTGATTCGAGGTTTGCGATTGTTTCTGGCATGTGGTTGGGAAAGGGTGGGATGGGAGGATGTGATCGTAACACGGTTAGGAAAAACGATTAGGACGTGGGCGTGTCAACACGTGTTTCGCTAATCCAATTCTTACGGGTTCTAGTAATTTAGCCAACCACTTTGCAAGTGCGTGGTACGGTGAATTATCCAGAATCGGTCGCAAGGATACCCCTTCCTTGTGCACCTTCGGCAACCCGTACAGTCTGGCAATCGTTATCCCAGTTGACCGGATTCGTTCGATCATTTTGCTTTAAACATCTCAATATTTTTGATGAAGCAACCTCTATTTGAGCGGTCTTATCCTTTTCTGTTGTTTGGTGAATTTCCACTTGTCACTCAATATGGCTTCCATCTTTTGTGCATAATCTGTGCGGTTCAAAAGTACGATCCCAGCCCCTTTGTCGGGTTTGGATACCATGATTTCTCT